ACACTGCTTTCTCTAATACCTTCGAACAAAAGCACAGCAAACTAACAGGCCGCAAATGATTATGAGTGGTTGGATTTTTGCCTTTGGCTAAAGGGATGATAATAGCTTCCTTCCAAGCATCAGGAAAAGTCCCGGTCTCAAGGCATATATTAACAATATGTGTTAAATACAATAAAATTTCTGGTAAGCAGTATCCTAGCATGTTCAAATTAATTTCATCACTCCCTGTAGCAGGTGACTTGATAGAGGTAACTATGTCCAAAATTTCTTCAGCGGTCATCATTCTAAATGTAAATGGAGTTACATCTTGGCTGTTAAAGCTGTTCTCATAAAACTCTACTGTACTCTCAATCAAACGGGAATTGATATTAAGATTTTGGTAATTTAACATGAAGTGGTTATTGACTTCATTAGGGTCTAACAGATCATAGGGTATTTCAATGTGTTTCTGGGGACAAATATTCATTGCTCTCAGCTGATCCCAAGCTTTTCTAGAATTGAGATTATCAAAGCGAGATAAATATGCCTTTTTCTCACGCCGGATTGAAGCAAGTGAATAATTTCTTAACTGTTTATACGCTGTCCAATTTTCATCTGATGGATTGTGACGAAATTTAATTAAAGCCTCATCTCTCACCTTAAGAATGACCTTAAGTGCGAAAGTTAACCATGGAGCAGCTTTTTTGGTGACACGAGCCGTCCGAATAGGAGCATGAAAGTTAAAAAGCTCAATAAGCACCCCATAAAGGATTAGAATTTTGGAGTTAATATCGTTATATACAGCATTTCTTCTAAGCCAGCTGCAGCCAAATCCTGCTTGAATTTGATTACATCAATGTTCTTAAATCCCTATAGGTTATGAATGTTTCCTCCGATGAAACGGTTTTAATATTTAATTCACAGAATACTAGTTTGTGGTCAGATATCAGATCTGCATTTAAGGTACCAGAGTTGAGAACACTTTCAATAGTATTTAAAAATATGACATCAATTAAAGTAGAACTAAAACGAGAAATACGAGTAGGCTCATCGATGACCTGCCTGAAACCATAAAAATCAAGACAACTGCTGAGTACATTAGTGGTATCGAACATATCAATATTCATGTCTCCAAGAAGAATAATGTCATCATATTGAGGCATAAAGAAAGAAACAAGATTGTCTATGTGTTACCCAAAAAAATCGATATTAACAGTACTGAATCTCAGATTAGCCTTTGCGTATATGCCAACCCCACCACCTCTGCCAATTCTATCTGTGCGAAAGCCAAGTTTCAGACACAGCTATAATATCAAATTGATCTTTTACCAGCAAAGAAAACTCATTAAAAGAAGCTGTAAGTGATCGAACATTTATATGGCAAATTTTTAAAACATCATTTTTATTACTTCCCATAGTCCACGCGCTGCTTCAAATTGTCAACATAACCTTGGTACACAGGACATCCAGGAAAGTTAGCAGAATGATCTGTGGGCAAGCTCTTTTATGTGACTTGTTATGATTAACACAGTTAATGCATTGTAGCGCCTCCGACTTGCACTCTTTCAGTTTGTGTTCTCTGCAGCATCTAGGCCATGCAAGCTCTGAATTGCAAGCAGCTTCAGTATGGCCGAATGAACAACATTTGTAACATTTCATCAAGCGCAAATGGTCAGAAATGCAACACTTTTTCCAACCAATGAACAACGAACCTATTGTAACAGGGATTTTCTTAAATCAGGTGCCACTTCAATGACAACACTAGTTCCGCTCTTAAGTCTAAGTTTAGTAACAAATTCAATCTGAGATTTTTGCGTAACAGTTAAATTATTCAGGGTAGCTATATTCGTTATAATATCATCTGGCGAATCAATACCATCCAAATTAACATTTTTTATTATTAACCTTGGATTTAATTCTTGGCCTCAGATATTGTATAATTAGATGCCAACTTGCATCAAGACTAGTTTTCAATGAGTTCAAAGATGCATCGTCTTTACAATGAACCGCCACACCGTTATGCTGGCCAAATTGACAGATGATTTTATGTCATCTAACACTTTACTTGTGTCGGAGGTGTTGCTACCAACAGATTGAACCAAAGAACAGATGAGTTGTCCCTATTCTTCTGTTTACTATATCACTAAAAAGAAGACCAGGTTGATGTACATTGACCTGGCTACTACCACATGCTTGAGATTTGCAGCTTCACGTTCTTCGTACGACTTCAGCAGGGATTTTTGCAACTGTACAGTGTATTCGAGATTAGTTAAAGTTTTTTAGTTGAATCCAATTCTCGATTGACGCTTTCCAACTCTTTTCTCAATAATGTTATGTCAGTTTTGTCTCATTACTGACTGACTGCAAGGAGCATTTACAATCGTCGCAAAGCCAAAATATATTTCGCATTCTGAAAAGATTTTAAACCAGCTGTCTCTCACAAATACGCATGACGTATGGAATTTAAGCTTGCAAAGGCCACACTTTACTATTTTCGTGCACACTATAAAGTTATCACTACATACTAGGCATACTTCCACATCAGGTGCCATGACTCTAGCATCGACCCGCTAATCGGTGCGATGTATACAGTCCGACGGTCTGGACGGTAATCAAGCGAATTATCTCAAATTCGATCACACACTTCTATTTTGTTTCTCACCAAACTGCTTCAGAAACAGGGTAGATGAAAATCTGACTATAGCCACCTACCAAAGGTTTCATCAAGCTGATTTTCATCATCATCATCATCCACGTACCAAGAAGGTAATAGAGATACCCTTAGGGAGCATTCAAGTATTACGTAAGCGCTAGTGGGGCGGGGTTCTTGACTTTGCTTATTTTTGATGACATAGACATAGATTCTGATTATCTCAGTAATAATTATTTATGTTTTTGGTTTCTCTACAAAATATAGTCATATTAACATTATTATGAACTATTTCGTATACCTGAATTCAAATTGTGAAGGAACAGAATATAAATATTAATGACTACCCTTGGCCCCCGCACTTATACAAGGTTTGTCTTATCAAAATTCTCTGAAAATAAAAACACGAGCGTTTTTTTAAAATACCACAGTAGAAAAAAGTAATGAAATATTTCAGTTTTGGCGTATTTAATTCGTTCTGCGATACTTAACATCAGTGAGAATGGCAAAAGTAAAAGAATTTTCAAAGATTTAAGAGACATGTACTTGAATTATTTAGGAGTGGTGTCAGAAATGTTGAACATTTCTCAAAGATTAAAATGAACAAAGGGACGATTTCGAAAATTATTAGTAAATATCAAGAATACGGATCAACAGCAACGCGGCCCAGGTGTATTGGGCTGTTTTTGCTACTTCTGGAACGGGTCCAATTTTTAAAATTGTTGAGAAAATGGATCAAAAACTTTACAACATAACACCATGCTTCCCTTTTCCGGCAAGATAACGACCCCAAGCATACCTCAAAATTCGGAAAGGACTGATTAAGACTAAAAATGTTATTGTTCTTACATGGCCCTCGCAATTCCCGGACCTTAACCCTATAGAACATCTATGGGGGCATGTTGAACTGGCAGAAAAACTTTTAAAAATAGGAATCATTTGATTATGTAAATAATATTTGGCAGAATATACCAAGAGACATCTGTAAAAAATTGGTGCCTTCTAAGAGCAGCAGATGTCAGGCAGGGTTGAATGCTAAAGTCTATGCTACCAAATAATAGCTAAACAGTATTTTTTAAGTCTTTTTATAGAGTTATTGTATTTAATTTGTAATAAAAATATGTTTCCATACTTTTGTCGTTTCATTTTGGTCATAAAATAATATGAAGGTATTTTAATGCTAGTCTGAAGTACCACAGCAAACAAACATTGCCATTTGTATCCTCACGACTGTAAGCGAACTATATGAGAAAAAAATAGTCTTTAATAATAAAGAATACAAAATTAGCGCACTTTTTAGAAATCACTAAGTATGTTTCCAAACTTTGTCTGCTACTGTACGTCAACCTTGCTTGTCGATGCTCGAAAGCATAATGCATCTTCAGGGATTCACCAGATAGGGATATGCTTACTCACTTAGAACCTTGGCTATAAATACTCGTAGTAGAAATGCGAATAACTGAGTAAAGTGCATAATGGCTCCTTTTAGTCGAGAACTGGCTGGTTTGATGCCTATGACCATTTTGGGTCTCATCTGGATGAACGTGGCAATTAAGGAACATTTAGAAAGATACAATTTCGAGTTTACCGGAAATGCATTAGCAGAGAGTGCAATGGAAATTGATGGTTATCATGTTACTGAAAAGTATGTTGGAAGCGGCAAACCAGATTTTCAGACATTAAATAGTATTCAGAACATGCACGTGAAAGCTACCACTTGCCTTCAAATTGTAAAATGTACCAAAATGTTTATGGAGGGGGATGTAAGAGACTTGCTTACTGAGAGAAGTGGGTTAATAATTGCCAAAAATCTGCTTATGTAACACTTGAATGGCCCCTTACGTACTTTAGGACATACTGCTCGACGTCATAAGCTAAGCGCAGAGATGTCGCGCAGCACCATCAGGGCAACGTGGTCAAGTGGGTCGGAATACCAGGTAAAAGATCCTGATGAGTTGCGAATAAGGACAAACAGCATGAGCTGCGGTGGGTCATAGTTTACAGTAGTCAGAAAGCAAACTATTCTATTTACACACTGGCTATATTAAAATTTTATAAAAACAAAATGGTGGATTTTAGTCAAAAATAAACGCTGAAATGCCTATTACACACGGGCTACAGTCATGAGGTGTTTCTAGATTTGTCTTGACATTGCGAGTGCCACCAGGTATACTAAAATTTCACAATTATACTTCAAATTGCGCCCCATGACAACTTAAGACACATGCCAGTTACATTCTGATCTAAGTACACACAATATGTTTAAAAGCCTTGTAGCTGGGATGAAAAGTAAAAAAATACCTGAACCTTGAACTTTAACACAGCCTTAATAAATAAGCTTCTAGATCCTATTATATTATGCTCCTTACCTCAATATTTGGCAAAGCACAGATTTCACCTTCATTTAGATTTTTACTTCCAACAGTATAACTGGCAACAGTGAATTTTGTCTCTGCACTTGGTGGCAAGGGTTTTGTTTCTATCATACAATCTGAAATCAGAATCAGAAGGACGACAATAGTGGAATATTGAGGGTAACGATATGCAAAGTTGGCTCAAGCTTGCATAACCAAAATCTTCATAGTTTATATCCTTGCAAAACATTGACCTGAAAAAAAAAATATCAAGATAACTGAAGGTTTGTTCCAACAAGCAGTTCCGAACTAGTTCTGAACTAATTCTGAATTATTTTTCTGCACATGTGTGAGGTAACTACAGTTCAGAACATAGTTCTGAACTATTCTGTTGGAACAGGCGTGTTGTCGTAAACATTACATTATTGAAGTAATATTTCAAATTACCAATCTCATTTAAAATTACCAATCTTCCTCCAAAAAGATGAGTAGCTAGGTGAAACATTTTAAAGAAGTAGCACGAAGTTTTTGGCGTTTTTAGGGCTGGAAGATTTCACTATTTTGTTTTGGAAGAAGCATGGTCTGCTACAGTAGAAGAGAAGGAAATTAAGTGGAATATTAGCAACATTAAGCTATTAATTGACTTGAAAGAAAAGGAAAATATAAGATTAATATTACTAATAACATGACTGAAACAATTCATTAAATTTATTATCAACACTTGACGATTTAATTTTCATTTCTGTTTCTTGGAATTCCTATAATCAGGTTCAGATCTTTATTATTCATAAAACTGCCACATATTCTCAGAATACTTATAGACAAGCCTACATTTTTCTAGAAGTGATATTTAGAAACAAATCATTTTTTTAAATGCATGAATAAGTGGCGTCTTTACCTATAGAGTTTGGGAAGATCTGCACACCATATCCCATTTTCATGTTGTCCTATCAAAAACTTTAGATTTTCTCTTATTGGTAGAGGGACATTGCTTTGAATATCGCCTACCTCAGCCGGTATTCTATCGAATACAAGTTTTTTAGTTCTGCCACAGCCAGGGGAATTTTGCGAATCACTGGAATAAAAAAAACCATACAACAATATCAAAAGAAAAATGTTTTAAATTATTTCCCAACATTCAAACAACAGTCAGTAGACCGCACACCTTTGATAAGATGAAACCTTTTACCCACCTCTTTTCTTCAACACTTGAGCTAGATTTTGGCATATGACTATCAACAATCCTCTTGTAAATATCTGGGCTCTTCTCGGGCAATTTATTTGTCGCTAAATTCAACTTAGAGGGATTTCGTTCACGATTTTCAGGTGTACTTGTATTCAGAACTGGTTGCTGATTGGGTCTCTCGACTGGTTCATCAACTGGTTTTTGGACTGGTTTCTCAGGATAGCTTTGATATGAGGAACTGCTCTCGCTTGGTGGATAAAAAATCTTGTGGCGTTGAGGTTGTGTACCAGGTTGTTTGTAAGGATTTGTGATTACTGGTTTTTGATATTGGAGATGTTTCCTCTGTTGAATGGGGAAGGATTGCCTACAAAATGTTTTAGCATTAATAACATGACCTTGCAGATTAAAATAAAACACACAACTGAATCAGTCAAACATTTGAAAAACCGCTTAGGTCAATTTTTAGCAACAGACTTTTTCACTGAGAGAAAAGGTAGTTGCTTTCTGCATGCACTACTACTCGACACTGGGTACTTGAATGGGTCATTTCAAAAACAGCACCAGAATTTGATTTATTTTCATATTATGTGCTATATGCACCAAAATACCAATTTAATATCACTAACTAAAAAATTAAGTTTATGGGTGAATACAGTAACCACTTTTCCCTATCATCTTTTCACAAAATCACCTACTCAAGAGTTTTATTTTTTCCTACCAATTCTCCTAGTTTGTATGACTGACAAAATCCTTTGATTATACTCTAAACGTTTTAAAAATCTATCCATATAGATAATAAATAACTGAACTCCTATCTTGCTGTTAATTTGCTGTCTGTTAGTAAAGTAAGCATGTGATTGTTCTACAAATGATTATTGAAGAAGTTTGATTAATAAGTCTATGTACTTTTTCACAATAGAAGTGTCATGGTTGAGTGACAAACAGGAGATTATATTTTCCCATGATGAAATATAATTCTACTTTACTTCCCAGAGTATTCATTAATTTGGTTTTATGAACAAAAAATATTGTACTGTATTTTGAAGTATCAACCAATGTCTTGAATTTCTCACTTCCAAAAGATCCATGTGCTTTAAGCCAAACTGGAATTTTTAGTGTCACATAAAGATATATACCTGTGTGAAGTCTTTTTCCTAGTTATCTTTTGATTTGTAACAAGTTCATTTATATGCTTGGACTTTTCAGAAATGACAGGGAGTACTGTTGCCATGGGCCCACTGCCTTTAACCTGAAAGAAATGTTATTCTCATATATCTTACCAATAAATATATGGTGTGACACCAACAAGCTTTTTTTGAAAGAGTAATAATAAATCATCAATACTGTAAAATGAACTTGGGAGTTCTGTTTGAACTGGAAATAAACCTACAGAGACTATAAGGAAAGGATCAGCAGAGTTAATGTAAATGTATGTCTAGTTCAAACACATAAGGTGATAGCAGCACTGTGGTGTTTTATGTGGAGCTGCCAAGAAATTTCATCTAAGTTCAAGTTATTTTTACTAAAACAAATGACATCAAGTAGGTTGATGCAATGCTCATGATCATGGCCATCTAAGAAAAAATTTACACAGATACAGAGCAGAGCAAATTAAACAGATCAAGTCAGTCAAACATGCTGATACAATTATCCACTGAGCTGTCATGGAATGACACTCATGGAGGAGACCATAATGCTAGAGATGTGTACCAAAGATATTTCTGTAAAGTTTTAAGAGTAAATGTATGGGAAAATCTATGATGTGTGAAATATGTCTAATAGGTGTGAAGAATTACCAGGGCTGAAAGCATATAAGTATAATACTGACAAAAATTTGAGATATACCCTCCAATTTTTTTTTTTTGAGCATAGCAGTAACATTGGTGGAAAATTCATCAAAAAGCAAGTAGTGCGTTCCAAGTTATAGATGGACCAAGGATTAGCAGACAGAAATGAGATGATTTTTCATGATGTACATATCATATAACATCCAAAAAGGTGAATCTCATTTTTATAAAACTTTTACAATACTTTCTCGCTAGTGGCATTGAAAGTAAAAAGCTCTTGAAGCAATGAAACAGTCAATTTATTGTTATTATGATAGTGACCCTTTTTCACACAGCTTCTTATATATTCCTTTTCTTTGTATCTCTACCTATCCTCTTGCAAGTATAAGTTTCTTAATGGAGGATTCAGTAAAAAACACAAATAGATCATTGTTATGTTACTATATATCTAGTATAATGAGTACAAAAATTTTAGCTGAATCTTCGTCAGCTTACATTGAATCATTAAAAACTGAAAAGTTCAAAAGCCACCATGCAGACACATAAGTAAACAATTCTGAATACGCACTGCATTCTCAGACTACTTGCTCAGCAAAAGCTATTTGTGAGAAAATATGTATTTCGATCATGTTTTGGAAATATTTTAATAATAAGCCACTTGAGACAAGATTAGCAAAGATGGAGGGATATATCAAATAATTTGTGAAAAGTATTACATTATTGAGAACAAGTGCAACTGTTGGCATTTAAAAAAAGAAAGTATTTGTGAAACAATTTGTTGATTCCAAATTTGCAAGGTCGTGCAATAAAACAACTAGCTAATAATCTGTGGAAACATCCAAATTAATGTTTGGTTTTAGGATCATTCAAAATGACAGAAGCTGATATAAAATTGTTAGTGTAGTAATTCAAAACAAGAATCAATGAGACCTTTCATAAATCTATGCATTCCACTTATTTCTAGGAGGCAACAGTGACAAGTCTTCTTATTTCTAATCAGCACAGAGGTTCAATAGAAGAACGTTTTACTAGGCATACTTTTCGTCTTATTTGATTGTGAACACACAATACTAGGCACTTACCTGTACTGTATCAGAGATAGATTTCAAGAAATGTTCCATGGAATTGTATCCTAATTTGTGGTATGGTATTTCCTCCCCGAGCATATTTCTGTAGTCCTTACTCAGCTGATTTATCGTCATAGTAAGTGGTGACGAGGTGAGAACACTAATGATGTATTTCTTCACATTAGACTCCATTTCGGACATTTATAATTATCTTTTTCATATATTTATGGCGCCAAAAAGTAAACTACAACGTACATGAGGGGCAGATATACACTTATAGAAATTAGAAATACACACAACACAGAACACACAACTTCCAGGTTGTCAACCACAAATGTCAACGTCATCAACCTGTCAAAAAAAGCTGGACGCGTAGGTATATTCTTTAATTCATCGGTTGATTCCATCACTGATGGATCCGGTGAACTCATGGTTGACAGCTGATGTGATGACGTCAGCAACCGGTTCCGTTGAATGATCGTTAATAAAAAGACGCATTTTTAGCCTTCAGGTTGCTGTCATATGAGAATACCTAACCTTTGTTTTATCGTAAATGGATACTTGTTCATTTTCATTTGAACACCGTATCATTTAAAATCATTATGGAAATGTAAGCAGCAGTTGGTATTGTCGTGGAACGTTTGTTAAGCGATTCGAGTGATGATTCTGATGAAGAAGTTATCCAGCGGAGAGAATCAATATAAGAACTATAAATCAGAAAACCAAGAAATTTTCAGATATCGACGATCTCAAATCAATACGAGGCATTGATTTGAGAACGTCGACGCTTCCCGTATAAGAACCATCAATATGGATTTTCTGAGAGCATTCCTGTATTCATTGTATTCATACAGGAATAAAAACAGAACAAAATCAGAAAATCGACATTTTCGGACTTCGAGGTATTAATATGAGATCGTCGATATGCAGAATTCAAAACATATTGACTTGCTTTCAGATGCTCTGTTTATTTCAATTTGTGTTGAAAAAAAACATTAAATTTCACGCGACTCCTAAGCTGCTAACTTCAACCTTTTCTTCTTCCATTTTTTCACACAAAACTGTAGTTGTCAAAAACTGATAAAATGTAGATGTTAGAATATCGTGGATCAACCGAGCCCGAACGTCGGTGGATGCTGTTGGCACCGGTGGCATATCCACCATCAATATAGAGACAAGTTTGATCTACAACCGGTCGTTCCAGCGGAAATTAAAGGACGCAAACTTGGCTAACCGGTTGCACCGGTAGCTCAACCGGTGAATTTAAGAATATACCTCGTGGGTGGACAATAATTCAAGAGACGGCCCATCATAGAACATCAGTCACTAGATGTCTGTTGTCAAAATTTATAGAGTTCTAATTCAATGCCAAATCCTCCATCTTCGTCCCTAATCTGGAGCACAAGTTGTCGCTATATTCTCCTGGCAAGCGCAATAAAAAAGCGAAAACACAAACTAAACTTCAACAAACATTTTATTTTCTATCCTAAATCAACAAAATCAAACGATAACGGTAGGAGCGTATGGGTAGGCACTGTATCCAGCGGCGTAGACAGAGGGTGCAGCTATGTAGCTAGAGTATGCCAGGGGAGCAGCATAGGGATAGGCGGCATATGCAGCAGGGGCAGCCACAACTGGAGCGGTGTATGCAGCGGCGAGAACACTTGGTTTAGGGGCAGCCTTAGGCTCAGGGACAGCCTTGGCTTCAGGAGCGGCCTCGGGAGCTGGAGCGGCTACAGCCAGGGCGATGATGGCGAAGAATACTACCTGAAAGTAAAAATGTACGTCAAATTTTGTAATGGACACAGACAACTTTTTATCTCAATATGAAAACCAATCAATACAATCGAGAGTAAACCACGCCATCCCAGAAAAAATTGCGTAAATCAGGTTGACATAGCTTTCAAACGAACTAGTAATGCACGATATGGGTTTTCATGAAAGAAAGAAATCCTCAGATGGCAGCAATGAGCGTGTCCATAGCAGAGAGTCCCATTGCTTCAGAACTCTGTTATAAAACTCTGTTTGTCAACAATGATTGATAACTGAATATAATATAGCTCATGATACATAATCATATACTATATAGCATTATGTCACGAAATCAAATAACCACATTGGATTACACTCCGAGCATCTATCGCGCCCACCTCGTATGTTACCGCGCTGATGGCGATTAGATCTTTATACGTCACTCCAATCAAATATCAAAGATGCATAATTATAAATAACCCCATGTCGTACGTCATGTGCGACCGATAGCCGTCTGCTGAAAATATTTTTCTGATTCTTAAGGTTAAATGTACGGGCAAAAATCTATGAGGTGTGAAATATGTATGTCTAATAGGTGTGCAGAATTACTGCGGCTGGAAGTGTATTATTATGCTAATATGCAAAATTGACTTATTCTTTCCCAGCCCTTACAACCCTCATTCCCCATTTTCACCCCAAAATGTTTTCAAAATGATCAGGAGCCATTAAAACATCAAAAAAACAAGTTTCTATTTTTTTTCGTTTTTGGTCTTTTTCTCGGCCGCCACTAAACTGAATTTCAAAATCTGTCAAGCCTTTTCGTCATTGGTATAGAAGTAACCTTGTGTGAAGGTTTGGTCGAAATCCAAGCAGTATTTCCCAAGGATTAATGGGCCGACGATATGAAAAGTACTCAATTATATCTTCTATGACCCCCACAGCATATCGCGACCTATTTCTTAAAATTGATGCAAAAAACGAAAGACGGATCGATATAAATATATTATAATGATAATAATAATAATAATTATAATAATAATAATAATTGTAATGATAATAATAATAATAATAGTAAAAATAATAGTTAGAATAATAATAATAGTTCTAATAATAATATATAATAATAATAATAAGAATAATAATAATAAAATTATTATTATTATTATTATTACTATTATAATTATTATAGTTATTCTTCTTATTGTTATTATTCTTAATATTATAATAATAATAATTATTATTATTAATTAAAATTACTACTATTATTATTAAGCAGAGCAATTCAACTCGCAGTGGTCTTCGGTTCAGAACAGTTTATTCAGTACTTGTACATGAATGGGTAGATAAGCTACAGGTGTAGACCGGGCTTCCGCGTTCCGCGCGCGTGTGCTGGCTGCTGTTGTACTTAGACTGTTCCCCACGACTGACTCTTCACGACTGACTGCATTCCGAGGTGCGGCGCGCGGGGACAGGACGGCGGTTACAAGCTTCTAGGTTAGGCAACCTGTCTGGTCGTCTCGCCAGTAGCGGCGCGGCGGGGTGACGCTAGTACGCGTTCCAACACTTCCCCTCGAGACGTAGCAGACAACATACAGGTTCTGGTCCGTCGTCTGTAATCCCAAAGTTCCATGCACTTCCGATGTTTTGTCCTCGACACCCCTTCGTCAATACGTCTGCGGCCATTTCAGAAGATGGGTATGCTTCAACTTCTTCTGTTCCAAGGCCTCCCGCACAAAATGGTAACGTATGTCGATGTGCTTACTTCTGGAATGATATCTTGGGTTCTCGGCCAATTTTATAGCACTCATATTGTCGCTATACAGGGTTACGTTTAGCGAGTCTTTCGAACCCAAGTTCGGTCATGAACTTGCCCAAGTAGATTGCTTCCTTGGCAGCTTCGGTGGTACCCATATATTCCGCCTCGGTGGTAGACAATGCCACTGTGGCTTGCTTCTTCGATTTCCCACGATACGGGTCCGCCTGATAGGATGAATGAGAATCCGGTATACGAATGCCTATCTTCAGGGCAGTTGCCCAATCAGCATCAACGAATCCTCTCAGATTCATGTCTTCTCGTTGGTATACTATCGAGTGATCGATGGTGCCCTTCAGGTACCTAAGTACTCGGTTTGCGGCTGTCCAGTGTTCCTTAGTGTAACAGTTGTTGAACTGTCCTAAGTAGCTTACGGCAAAGCTAATATCGGGTCTCGTTCCCAACGATAGATAGGTTAGCGCACCTAAAAGCTCTCTATAAGGTAACTTCAGCTCTTCACTAGATGGGCTCTCCGTCGGTTTCCTTAACTTCGTTCCTGGATCAAGTGGAGTGCTTACAGTGTTCGCATCCGCCATGTTGAATCGATCTAGTATTTCCAAGATATATGCTCTCTGGCTTAGACTTATCTTGTTTTTCCTTTAGTGAAAATTCCATCCCTAGGCAATGATTAACTGATCCCAGATCTTTCATTTCAAATCCTTCAGATAATTTGGCTTTTAGGGACGATATTGCCTTTTTGTCACGTGATGCGATAATCAGATCGTCTACATAAGTGACAATTATCATAATGTCTTTCCCTGTTTTACTAGGTGAATACACATGGGTCGGACTTAGTTGGATTTGCACCAGCATTCACTAAGTGTCTGGCTTAGTTTCTGATACCAGCTCCGACCGGCTTGCTTCAGGCCGTATAGTGACTTCCTAAGTAGACATACTTTATCACCTTTTCCCAGTGTGTTCAAGGTATCTCGAGCCTTCTTTCTGGTAGCCTCGTTGTATTTGGAGTTATCACAAATAATCTTCAATGATTCATCCAAATATTCGGGGGTTTCCATGTAAATCGTCTCATCTAGACTTCCATTTAAGTATGCGCAGGTAACATCCAGTTGCTGCATGTCCATATTTAAATGTGCTGCTAGGGCAGATACAAGTCTTATGGAGCTAAGCCTTGCTACAGGGGCAAAAGTCTCGTTGAAATGTGTTCCGGGCTTTTGGCTAAATCCCCGAGCGACTAGTCTTGCCTTCCTCCTTTCGATAGTTCCATCAGGCTTGTACTTGTTTCTCAGGACAATACGGCTTCCAACGATGTGCTGGTTACATGGTCGGTCGATTAATTCCCAAGTACCATTCTTCAAGATAGATGCCACTTCGTCTGCCATCGCCTTGTGCCATTCGTCAGCGTCCTCGCCTCTGACTGCCTGATGCATCGGGACCTCGGACAGTAATACCTCTTCAGAAGAGAGTGCTGAACCTCTCGGGGGTGTCCTGTACCTGTATATCTTTCTAGGTCTTCCCCTCGAACCAGTTCGCCGAATTCTGGGTCTCCCGCGGGCACGCCTGGGTGGCTCAGAATCGTGATCAACCTCGGGCTCTTCTTGTTCCGTTGTAGGAGATTCATGTTCTGGATTTTCGTTCTCGACAACTGGGGATAGCTGTACCTCGATAGTATGCATCTCAGATTCATTCTCCTTGGATGATCCTTCCAGAATAAAATCTGTCCATTCTTGGCTATGGACTTCTGCGTTTTCCAAGAACTTAACATCCCTCGTGACTACGAATTTATTCTCCTTCGGCAACCAGATCTTGTATCCTTTCGTTTGTTCCGAATACCCTATGAAAATTCCTTCCTTACATCTTGCGTCTAGCTTCCCCTTGGCCTGATCTTGGTTTAGACAGAAGACCTTGCAACCAAAATCTCTGAGATGCGAAACGTCGGGAGTCTTTCCAGTCCACTTTTCGTATGGTGTTAACCCGTTCAGACTTTTGGATGGACATCTGTTCCGCAAATAGTTGGCCGTGTTGATGGCTTCAGCCCAAAAGATCGGAGGTAAGCCGGACTGCATGATTAGACAACGTGCTGTATCCAAGAGAGTGCGGTTCTTCCTCTCCGCTATACCGTTCTGTTCCGGAGTGTATGGGCAAGTCAAGCGACGTGAAATTCCGTGCTTTTTCAGGAGATCCTCCATTTCCTTACATGTGTACTCCGTCCCGTTGTCAGATTGGATGCACTTTATCTTTTTGTTCTTTTGGTTTTCGACCAGTGTAATATATTCCTGAGTCTTTCGCACAACTTCATTTTTATGTTTCATGAAGAATACCGTGCAATACCTAGAATAATCATCTATGAATTCGACAAAATATTTGTACTTCGAGTGAGATTCTAATCGCATGGGACCGCAAACATCAGTATGTACGATTTCTAGCATTTCCGATTCCCCGTCGGACTTCTTCGGGAATGGTGAACGCGTCATTTTTCCGCGTATGCAAATTTCGCAATTAAGTTCCCCATTATTAGGCATATTTTCAATATGTATCCACCTAATCTTCCTTTCTTCAATGAAGAATTCAAATCCTGAAAGTTCAAATGTCCTAATCTACGATGCCATAGTTTGACATTTTTAGAATTCATGGTCGAAATGAAAGCTGATTTATTCTGCGCTTCGCCTTCTCTCGCGTAGTATAAATCGCCACTACGATCGGCTACAACTTTTATATCACCATTACTATCATAGATCAAAGCATTTTCTTCGTGAATAAAACTTCAAATCCTTTATCGGTAATCTTTGCAACAGAAAGTAAGTTTACTCTTAGGTCGGGAACATGAAAAGCTTTGTGGAGTGAGATGTTTTTCGTGTCGCCAAAACGTCAGCAACAAACGTGGCTGTTCCGGAACCTGTAATGTCCGTAAATTCACTATTTGCTAAATTCAAATGATCATGTCTACGTTCAAGGTCAGAAAAACAACTAATGTCTTTACATAAGTGAGACGTTGCGCCACTGTCTAGACACCATTTCAGTCTTTGTGATTCTGTTCAACATGATAACATTCCGCGGTAACGAGTCCCACGTGTTCGGAACAGTTCGCTTCACTTTTGTAAGAATTGGCAACAGTCTTACCTTTGTCTGGACATTCAGCGGCCTTGTGGCCTACTTTTCGGCATCTGTGACACTTATACCTGAACGTTCTTCTGCCTTCCGAGACGCCGCTGCCTCGTGCACCTTCCGAGACGCCACTGCCCCGTCCGCC